TTACCCTCCTATCTTTTCCTAATTACCCTCCAACCCAGCCCCAAATCAGATGGCTTTCTTGCAAATAAGGTGAAATCAAGGGGCATTTTCTTGACTGTAGCCATGAACATGCCAATCCCGCTCCAACTTTAGAATAGATAATGCTTCTGTGTTTTCGTGTTTCACTCCACGTAGTTTGAGACAAGACTTGAAGAAATACTCTCTTAAATTTTCTTATCGCATAATATGTTGTTTTTTTTTTTATTGGTAACATGTTGACGCTTTTAAATACCACAAAATTCAACTTCAAGGATTTTTAATATTTACATGGAAACTAACCATTTCACTTGAGGAAACATTAAAAATTTACAACCATCCAAAGAAAGTTTGTTCGAGGGATTACTTCATATACTATCTACTTATTTAAGGATGCCTCAAAGATCGGGTTCAATCTTCTGTTTCTGTGTGCATTAGATAGTTGATTGAATAATCCACTCTCATATCAATTACATTTACATTTATTCTAATTTAAGCTACTCTTTCTTCTGGCAGACTTTGTTCCCCCGACAGAATTTTCTATGCCTGTAGGTGCCGTGGTTGGAATTGTGGTTGGAGGAGTCTTCATTGTACTACTGATATTTGGTATTCTTTGGAAGAGAGGCCTCCTAGGACAAAAAAAGATATTGGAGGATGGTATTAATTTGCAGTTTATTCTGTTGTACTGGTTTTTCCTTTTTGTTTCTCCATTACTTTTTCTTATCGAACTTTTTTTCGTGACTAAGAACAATATTTGTGCTATTTTTTGCATGGTTCTCTTGCACATTGACGTGCATACACAAAGACAGTAATTATTTAGATATTGAGCTTTCTGGCACTTTGATGTTGCTATAATATATTTATAGTCCAGACTCATGATGCAGAGTGTCTACCTATGGATCCAATTACTAGTTAAATTCTAGAATCATGTACAAAATATTAAGAACTAAGAATGCTATTGTTCTCAAAGTTTTCTTTGACACAATTTCTTATGAGTTTTACTTGTTATACAGATTTGAAGGGTGTGGACCTGCAAACTGGTAAATTTACCTTCAAGCAACTCAAAGATGCCACACACAACTTTGACAAAGCCAATAAGATTGGTGAAGGTGGTTTTGGTTCTGTTTATAAGGTATTCTTCGGAGCCAATATTTATTTATATATTACATTTTTTTTTCTACTTTGATATTGTCCGTTCTAATGAAAGTTAATTTGCTCCATATAGTGATGAGAGTTTGACTATCTTTCTCAACTGTAGGGCGTTCTAGCTAATGGAACCGTAATAGCTGTTAAGCAGCTGTCTTCCAAATCAAAGCAAGGAAATCGTGAATTTGTTAATGAGATTGGCATGATTTCTGCTTTGCAACACCCTCATCTTGTCAGGCTCCACGGATGTTGTATTGAAGGAAATCAACTATTGCTTGTCTATGAGTACCTGGAAAATAATAGCGTTGCTCATGCTTTGTTCAGTAAATATCAATCTCGTTTGCCAAAAGTTCATTTCATTCATACAGTGGGCATAAAAGATCTTATGCACTAAAAATATGTCCTTTACAACTAACATTGTTTAATTTGGCAAATTGAAGGGGAAAAAGAAAGTCATTTGAATTTGGATTGGTCAACAAGACACAAGATTTGCATTGGTACAGCAAGAGGTTTGGCTTATCTTCATGAGGAATCAAGATTGAAGGTCGTTCATAGAGACATCAAGGCTACTAATGTTCTGCTTGATAAAAATCTTAACCCGAAAATATCTGACTTTGGATTGGCCAAACTTGATGAAGAGGATAATACACACATTAGCACTCGTATTGCTGGAACTTAGTGAGTCCCTACACTTTTATTTATCTTCTTATTCTCTTGTTTTAATCTTTTTCCACCCTGAAAAAAGAAGATAGAGCAAAAGGAAAGTCTCCAACTTACATAATTTTGAACCTAACCAAATCCTTGTTGTTCAAGAAATTTGAAGGGCAAATATGTTCTTTCAATATAGTTGTATTACTGATTATCTCTCTAACTATTGGAAGTATTCAATTAGCAATATTTTTACTAATTATTTTAGCTCAATATGGGTTAATGATATGATTTCATGATATTGCAGTGGATATATGGCGCCCGAATATGCAATGCGGGGTTATCTGACTGATAAAGCAGATGTTTATAGTTTTGGTATTCTTGTATTGGAAATTGTTAGTGGGAGAAACAACACAACTTACCGGAAAAAGGAAGAAAGCTTTTATCTTCTTGATTGGGTAACATGAATCTACTACTTCCTAATTTAACTTCAAATTTTCTTAATATGCCTTTTATGTGTGAAAGTACATTTGAATCGATGAAGTTTAATCCAAAGACAGAATTTATATTGCTTTTGTTACTTCCATTTTTTGTAGGCACGACTTCTAAAAGATCAGGGGAATTTGATGGACCTAGTTGATCCAAGGTTGGGATCAGACTTTAATAAAGAGGAGATGATTGTTGCAATCAATGTGGCTCTCCTTTGTTGCAACGTTACTTCGACAGCTAGGCCTACCATGTCTTCGGTTGTGAGCATGCTCGAAGGAAAGACTGTTGTTCATGAGTCGGTCTCGAATCCAAATGCCGAGAGTATTAAGATTGATGCAATGAGGAAACATTTTCAATCTAGTTTTGGAAGGGGCACGGGCGAGAAACAGATAGAAATGGGGTCAACTGAAGGGCCATGGACTGCTTCGTCTACGTCTGCTCACGATCTGTATCCCGTTAATCCTGATTCAGATTACTGGGAGAACAGAAGCGAGAGAACTTGAGCTACACGGTTATCAGTTTCACTCAACCTTAGCATACTCAAACATATCAGCTAATTAATCATTTGTATTTCCTTTATAACTATTTGTTGGTGTGAATCAACCATATAGTTTGGGAATGTGATCATATGATTGATTCCTTGTATAATTGAGATTCTTATTTCCTATTTTATAGGACCTCTTGTACCATGATCATTGGGAGTGGTACTAAGAGGAGAAGGTTATATTATGTGGATGAAGTGGTAATGGGCCGAGTCAACCAAGTCTGCAGTGGTCACAATAACAATATCCAGCAAATTTGGCTATGACATCGTCAATTAGGACATGCATCCTTCGTTATTTAAAAAAAAAAAAATTACTTTTGTCTTTATTTAATGGCGTTTCAAACTCTGATTTTCAATATAATGATTGCATTCTTGCAAAAAATCATCGTACTTCTTATCATTTACGTTTCAATAAAAGAATAGTGCCTTTTGAGTTAATTCATTCAGATGTTTGGGGCCTTCACCAATAGCAACTCACCATGGTATTCGTTAGTATGTTACGTTTGTCGATGATTGCACCAGAATGACTTGGCTGTATCTTATGAAACAAAAGAGTGATGTTGAACAAATCTTTCAACTATTTGATTGCATGATTGGAAGTCAAATTTCTCTTTTGTCCTATCAAAGTTCTTTGAACTGATAATGGTGGAGAATATCTTAATTTGGAGCTACCACAATTTTTCGCAGCGCACAACATACTTCATGAGACTACTTGTCCTCAAACTCATCAACAAAACGGTGTGGAAGAACGCAAGAACAGACATATCTAGGAGACTACACGAGCTCTTCTCATTGGGGCTTATGCCCCTTCTACTTATTGGGCAGATGCAGTTACGTATTTCGTTTATCTCCTTAATCGAATGCCTACTTGAGTTCAAGACTTTTTGAACTCCCATGGAAGTCTTAATTACTTTACCATCCTCTCTTCAATTATCACCTCGCATATTTGGGTGCGTGGCCTAAGTGTATCTTCACAAGAATCAACAAAGTAAATTGAATCCGTGTGCCGTTTGTTGTGTCTTTTTAGGGTTTAATAGCCAACTACCATCCACCCATAAGCAATTTTATGTCACCATGGATTTCACGTTTTTCGAAACAGAGATGTTCGTCATCACTAATCAAACCCACTATACTATTCAGGGGGAGTTGCGTAGTGCAAATGAAGAATACGGTGGGTTTGATGTCCCACTTGAACGGGACAGCTCAGGCAGCCCATCTGATGGATCTGGGCCTAACAACAGTTCTAGAGAGACTGAGATGGCAGATTTAGATTTCAGCAATAATTCGGGCTGAGTTTCCAGAGGAGTGGGCCACGGCATCAATTCATGCAAGCCAGCATGCAGCCCAATAATGGACCATAGCACACCGATCCAAATAAGCCCAGAAATGGGCCACGATACCACTAGTCAAACAGGGCAAATTCCAAGCAACCGTTGCTTTTGATTTGAGTGTTAGTAAAGAAGTTCAAGTCGAGTAAGATTAATTTCGAACTACATTTATTTTGCCGTCTGTCACTCTGTGCCGTTCGTTTGCTTAATATAGACATGCACTTAATTTCATGCATGGTTTTTTTTTTTTTTTTTTTTTGAAGTTTTTCCTTTTGATTTCTTTTATATCTTTATGTAAGTGTCGGATTGTCTGAAGAATATGACTTTTTTCTTTAATTTATTGTGTTGCTGGTTTAAACGCTCCGATCTTTATTTTGTAACTTAGATTATTAATAATAAGATCAATTGTAATAATAATAAAAAAAAATAATATATATATATATATATATATATATTCTCAAAACAGAAAAAGGGTTATTTTTTTCGTTTTCAGATGGTGTTGGACACAATTTATTTCTTAGAAACTTGACATGAACAACACAGTTAAGCTAATAGATAAATTTGAGACACAAATATGGATTTCTTTTCTAATAAGTTCGTCACTTAGGCATTCTACATAATTAACATTTAAATAGGTGGCCAAATTATATCCTAAAGATGTTGATATATTAAATACATGTAAATATTATAGTCAAATTCATATTTTTATCACAGATGGTCCATGAAATTGACAAACGCATCAAAATGATCTGAAATTGAAAATTGATCAATGTCGTCTGTGAATATAGAGATTGTTGTCGGTGGCTGAGTTCAAAGAAGAAGGAGAAGATTTGATCCCTAGGCTTAGAATATTGAGATCCAGAGAGATCCGGGTTCGTAAGGTAACACGTCATTGACTTCCGTTTGTGTCCTTCAAGGTCCGCTCCTTCCCTCCCCTCAAGCGAATAAAGAGCCGTAATTCAGACTCATTCTCCTCATAAATCTTTCTTTCTTCGCCACTCACAAATTTTCATATCCAACAAATTCCAAAACCTCTCAACATATTCCATCCAGCTAGCTGCACAAACTGATCCTCTTGTCTCTGGTTTTCTCTTCAAATGTGAAAGACTTTGCCTAGAAAAATGATGAATATGTTCTTCCCTCGACTTCTTCCTCATTCTCTGTTCTTTGTTGCTTGCTTTATAACTTTTGCCTTTGGAGCTGCTCGATTGCCAAACGATGAAGGTACGAGTAATTCACCTCAATATCCCTATGTCAAATATCTTCCTTAGTTTCCCTTGTTTCATTCTATAAATGATAGTTTTAAGTTCGTTTGATAATCTTTTAGTTTTCAATTTTTTTTGAGTTTTCAAAATTTGGCTTGGGTTGATTTTGGTTTTCAGTTTACATTTTTCCAAGAAGTGAAAACAGTTACCAATGAACTAAAATTAAAAATTAAAAATTCAAACAGTTATCAAATGAACCTTAAGTAAACAGATATTTGCTTGAACTTAGTAGAAATTTTCAATCATATGATGCTGAGGTGCACTCTGTAGTTCTTGTCTATGCATCAAATTTTTTTTTTTACTATTTTGTTGAGCACGATGTTAATTTGTTGCCTTTTATTTTGCGTATATGCAGTGCAAACTTTGAAAGCCAGAGCAAAGACACTGGGGAAGAACTAGAAGGGCTGGGATTTCAGTGGAGACGCAGATCCATGCAGCGGCCAACTTCCATGGACTAATTCAAGCGCACCCAAAGGATTTGAGAATGCCATCAACTCTAATTGCTCCTCCACTGTCTGCCATATTACTGGAATGTAAACCTCTCTCTCTGTTCGCTCCCTAAATTCGCCATGAGCCACGCGGGCATGCCGGGAATTTACTCAAACATGAAATTGGTGGGTGTGAGCGTGCCACTACTAGATGCCGTTAGTAGATGGGATTTGAATGATTGTGGTTGTGCCTAAGTTTGACTTTAAACCAAGAGATTGTGCCATTGAGTGGGAGTAGCTCAAATCAATGTTCTTTCTTTGCCTTAAAGATAAGGACTTTACTTATATGGAGAAATGTAACAACAACTAAATGACAAGGTTGCTGGAAGTGTGAATAACAGAGGAAAGTAAATGACTGGTATTGTAGATTGCTTTTAAACTAAATGACTGGAAATGAGTTGTGCAAAAAATACAAAGGAGATCGATACTACTAGTGAGCAGCAGAGCTAATAAACAAGGAAAGTAAAGGATGTTTAGCTAAAGCTAAATGTCTACAAGGAGATTGATGAGCTAATTTGAGTAGACTTGATTGATTGGTTGTTTGAGTGTCCATAATCCTTCTGCCTCTGTTTCTTTATATAGAGATTTGAAAGAGCCCATTTGCTGAGTGATAAGCTCATATTTACATATATTTTACATCAAATTCACTTGTCTTTTCTTAGTTAGTTCCTTATATTTTTGAGCTATTTACTTTGTTTTTGTGTTTTGTGGGATTTGTCAAGCAAAGAAAAGAAAAATAGCACAAGTGGGATTTTAAGTAACAAATTCGTCAAAACTGCCTGTGCAGATCAGCTGACTTAGGAAGGAAGTTGTGAACAGCTCATAATGAGTTAGAGAATGAGCCTTATATGCTTGGAAAGCTACAGATGTCTATTTTCTGGAGCATTTCACGGATTGATAATATCATTTTCTAGAAGAAGTTATGGCCATTTTAACACTAAAAGGTGACCAAGAGGCTGAGCAATTTGTAATTGCAATGAAATCATAAACCCAATAAATCTAGCAGCCAAAACTGATGCAGCCAAGAACAAGTCAGCTGACACTTATTCAAATGTAAAGGGGAATGGAATTAAAGATGAGGATTAAGAGGGAGTAATTGACATAAAGGCTACCCAAAGAGTTACAATTGTTTTACCATTTCCTCTCACTTATTGTCATCACTAAATGGCTATTAGTGGGTGAGTTAAGGAGAAGAAAATGATGTAGCAAAAATTGGTTTAAAAGCAGCGTTGAGGAAGGAAGGAAAGAAGAGGAGGCCTCAGTCGATTTCTTTCGTTTCTATCTTCTCAAACTTATGTCTATCTTTTGTTTTAACTTAAGGATTATGTGTTACTAAATTTTTAGTAGTTAGGGGCTGTTTTGAAGCCCCAAATATGATTGCAAGTTTGTTATGCCATTTCGTTTGAATTACTTTTATGAATGGATGAAAATTGGTTCACTACTTGTCTCATTGATGAATTCTTTATGTGTTTTCTACTGATACATACTTAGTAAGCATATCTAGGATTCTAATGCTATGAATATGTGTGTGCTTTCCCTTATTTTCATAGGATAAGTAAGACAACGCTAGTACTTACGATGCCTTGTGATGACTCAAACTCTTTTCGTTCTTAATGATTTCTACTTGTTAAATCTATGAACACGCCATTCTAGATTGCATGCTAAGGACTAAGTTAAGTTGAAAACGCCATTCTCTTAACATACTACATAAGAAAGAGTATTAGGTTGAGTTCTAACATTGAGCCAACTTTAGCATCTTCATACGGAAATAAAAGGAATTTGAATGAAACATAACATGTTTGCATGATTATTTGGTGGTGGATAGCAATTCTCCTAACTCGTTTTTCTTAATTTGTGAACTACTTAAAATCTGTTTCTATTCTGTTTTTGTTTGATTTAATTTAAATGGCAAATTAACTCCAAAAATCTCAAAATTTTGTGTGAGTGTAGTTCTGTGTGTCTAGTATCTACATATAAAATTTCGTAAACTTTAGATAAGTTAAGTCAATCTAATAATTATTTTTCAGTAGCTGGTCAGCAGAGACAGCAACCCAGTTTTTGTGACATTTTAAGTAGTTAGATAAAACAATCTTCTGCGGGAAAGACCCTTATTTTCATATGCTACAATTGACAAATCTTAGTGTTAATAAGGAAAATCAATAGGACATTTGTGTGCTACTTTGTGGTGTGCTTTTAATCCTATCACTGAGAACAATGAACTTGCCTAAAAGAAGCTTGGCCATCTTGCATTGTGAAGTAATATTAAAAGGGAAACTTGCATTTCCACCACAGGTTTTCACTACTTGCAATAAACTATTAATTAAAAGAAGCAAGTTAGCCTCTTTCACAATGTATCTTCTTTCAAATGTCTGTGCTTTCCCATCCACTTACGTTGGAAAAACATGCAATTGTTGTTTAAACAAAGCTCTTGGCAAACCTTCACCACCCAAACAATAGGGAAAAACATTATTATAATATCAAACTATCCCATTTGCAGCCAAATATCTTTCCAAGTTAGCATTTTTGCACAATCATCCTCCAAATGCCATATTTTGTGTGAATGGGCACATTTTAGGTGCAAACACACACACACACACACACACACGCACTCTCTCTCTCTAAAAAAGTTGGAAAAAAATGCAGGAGATTCTAATTACTCCTTTTTTTGTTTCACCATAGGGAACATATCGTTAATATATATATATATATATATATGGAAGTGTTATTGACACTCCAAAAATCTTATTATACGTTCCTTACAAATGTATTTTTCTTTCCTAATATAGAAAGTTTGAAGTGTAGAGTGAGATTTTTAGAGTGCTAATAACAATTATATATATATATATATATGAATCGTTTTCTGTTTGTATAGTTCTCTTGTTTGAGACACGTTGTGAATATAGAATGTTACTTTACATCGAAAACAGTTGGAAAGAAATTGTTAATTGTGACGACCCGTCCCAAATTATTGCATATATTTATTCCCGAGTATAGAAGTTATGGGAAAAAATGGAATTAAAAAAAAAAAGAAACAAATTTTGTAAAATAAAAGTTATAGGAAAAAATAGAATTTAAAAAAAATATTAAAAATAGAAGTTATAGGAAAAATTTTGTAAATAAAAAATAATAATAAAACTATAAAAAAAAAAATTCAAATGCAACGGCTAACTGACGTCAGCTAGCCGTTGCATTTGAATTTTTTTCTTAAGCATTCCTATCGGTTATAACCGACAGAAAAATTGAATTTTCTGGCCAGCCTCGGGCTGGCTGGCTGCTTGCAGCTAGCCCTCCAACCAAGCAGCCAGCCCTCCAACCCTCTAGCCTTCTCCGATTCCGTGGGGCTCTCTCAGATTCCAGAGCCCTCTGGCCTAACCCTCGGTTGGGGACGGTTTTCGGGCTATTTTCGGCCATTTGGCCTTCTGGACCCTTCGGTTGGAGATGACCTTAGTTTAATAGCACAGTCGAGCTCGTTTGTTTCTTTGTGATTTTCTCACGCCCCGACCCGGTACACCTAATATCATAATACAAATAAGTGGATATATGAAAAAAATTTATAACCACTTGCATTATGACACTTAGTGTACCGAACCTTCTTCCTAACACGTTGAAATTTTTTCCTAGGTTTGTGGCGTAAAAATTTTGAAGCTCTTATTGTGCATGTGAAGTAAGTAAATGTTGCTACTGTTTAGAGCTATGAAAAGTGATTATCGCTTATCTTTTTCTCTTCATGCACACTGTTAAATTTTGTTTTTGACGAAACAATGAGAGATTTTTCAGTGTGACCGGAACATGTGGTGGTACACCATGTGTTACTATACAAATAGTAGGATATTTGTGTTAAAAATTAATAACTTAAAAAATACAATTTCCCACTATTTGTATAAAAACACATGGTATACCATCTGTGTTCCGGTCACAAGGAAAAATTTCTTCGAAACAAGGGGCATAAATAAAAATAAATTGAATCAAATTTTTTAGAGCTATAAATTATTCTTGACGTGCAAGTCGGGATTGAAAATTTTGATTTCGACCAATTTAGTTTTTTGATGGAACAAAATTATGAAGAAAATTGGAATATATCTTAAAATTCCCAAATGGGCTTTGGCCACCTTACACTAGAACGGGCTTAGCCGTACTTACACTAGTTGGGTTTCCATTTTCCAATCCTTTACCCCCTCCAGATTTTTTATTTTTTCTTCAACCAGCAACCAATTGGAAGTTTTTCTTGATCTAATAAGATCTTCTTGTGCCTTGAAATTGAAGAAAATGCAAAAAGACTAATCTATTTCTCTTATTGAATGAACAATGAAACATTCAACCCTACCATGTACAGCAATTCAACTTAACTTATCTGCAAAATGGAGTTCTGGGATGTGACCAATTTGCTCAATTACTATGACAATGAGTTTCTGATCTGGGTATTAGCCAGCATAGATGTTCCATAGCATGCTGAGTTGTTAGGACTTGGTATTACTGCTGTGCTGTATTTAGGCTTGATTCTTGCATACTTGATCAACGTATAATTGTTCATAGTCACCATGATTCTTGCATACTTATTATACACATACAACTCTGTATCGACATAGTTATTAGTTACATAGTTAATGAAAGAATGACTCACAGTGTGCTTGTGACAAATGCACATTTACTGTTTGTGTAATTGCTCCAGTTTTTGTTTTTTTAAAGGACATTGGACTTTTTCCTTTGGTTTTCAAGTAAGAAAAATTCCTTCTGCCTATTTAACTACCTGACCAAAAGTAAGTATTTTCTGTGATTAATTAGTGTTTTACCTGTTTGGTCTCACTTCTGAGGCATCTTTTCCTTTTAGTCACAGCATAGATGCGTAATGGGTCTCTTTTAATTTGCGACTAATCTTTGAAACCTGTTTACTGATGAAACACAGAATTCTAAAAGCTCAGGATTTGCACAGAATTCTAAATCTCACCCATCTTCAAGAAATGTAAGTACATTTTTGCCAGTCCAAGTTTAAATTATTTAATGTAAAAAGAAAATACTTTGAGTCTTGTAAATGGTTTATTCTAATTTCATATATAGCTTACCTTTATGTCTGTTGTCAATGAGACAATAACTGGTTTCTTTCTATCTCCTTCAGTGATCTCACCCGCAACTACCTGAGCGGTACCATCCCTCCAGAATGGAGCTCTCTTACACTTCTGAACATGTACTGTCTTCTGTCACACTGCATACATTTTTGTGTTTGATGTTCATGTCATGTTCTTGTTACTTTATTTGGTCACTCCAATGTTCTTCAGCCATTTCTTTCTTAAACTATGAATCTACTACATTGGATTTTGTTCATGATAATGAGCTTCCGTGGTCATGAGGCGTTTGAATCATAAATATTGAATCGACACATGGGTTTCATTGCTTTCGTATTGACGAACATGTTAATGTTGTTGAGGCTTGATAAAAGTGATCTTAAGACTATAGTTTTTGATGCAGATCCCTTGTTGAAAATCGTTTGACAGGTTCTATCCCCAAAGAGCTCGGAGACATCACCACCCAGAAGAGTTTGTGAGTGTTGATTGCGCATTTGTTTCTTGCTTACCCCATTTGATTCTATGATGATCCTTAATGATGTTTTTTTAATCAATGGAATTGAGTTTGTTTGTATAGGGACATCGGTATCAATAATTTCTC